GATTGGGAGCTGGTCGTGAGGTGTTAATCGCTCCCCTTACCCCACGTATACTACACGATGCACGACACACGATGAAGGCGAAACTCGGGCCAATCACCAAAACGGTCACACGACTGGAAAATCGGCTCAAAATGAGCCAAAAATCGCACAGTGTATGCCCAGCATTAATTGTCCGACAAGGGGAAATTTGGGTGTAACAGCAGCAAGAAATACACATATACAAACAAACAGTACACAAGACATAGAACAGAAACATACACATTTTTTACATATTTACATCAAGGACAATGGTTACCAAAAACAGAATACTGTAATAATATATATAACAATGTTCTGTTTACTTCACCACAGCAGCACTTCAAAGGTGTGTAACACCAGTACCAGCTCCAGATTTCTGTTTTATGCTTGAGCCTTTTTTTCCCACTAAACTGCAACTTGTGGTCAACGCGGCTGAAAAGCTCAGATGAGCTGATGCTTTAACTTCTCTCTCACTCGTTATGTTCGGTCGCAGAGTCCTTTAGGAGAAAATAAACTACATGAATAATGCCAAAAAAGCCACTTAATTTTTACTGATTGATATCATCCTTTATTATTCCACCAACACAAATCAAGTAAAATTATACTTTTGGATCTATTGATTTGTAGCACTTTAATTTACAAAGAATGCTGTTTATGTTGAACCTGAGGTCGTACACAAGCATAATTCCTTCTCTTCCACATAGAAAAATACTATTAGATCAGTATTCTCCATCTGATCAGATAAATGTAGTCAAGGTATGTGTATAGTATTGTAAATGGAAAAAGATACTCAAATAGTATCTGCCAGTGCTCAGTAATAACCTTACACAGAGCTCTATTACTGCTATATTTGAAGTCTGTATACCACACTGGGTGGAAACCATGAGCAATGGGTTACACCCAGAGATGCTGTGGAGTTCAGTGCTGACTCAGAGCTGCTGAAACACTGAACTTCATAATATCACAGATGAACAATGTTGTTAATGTGGATTTGTCATGTCTTGATGATACCAGTTTGCTTAATGAGGTTGGTGTGGCTGGACTGACATCATTCCACTTCCTCTCCTGACAGTATGTTATATCACTAATTATGGACGTGTGTGTATGTGAGAGAGAGAATGTTCGGGGAAAATAGCTCAATTATTCTAAAAAACAGGCACTTTATAACAGAGAGGTATAGTTTGAGGTTCTTGTCCAACTAAGAATTCAACATTAGCAACAGACACAAATAGAAAACAGTGATTCTACCTTAGGCATTAGGCTTTTTTTGTATGAACAAAAATGTTACTGTTACACTAATAAAAAGGGCTGTGCGTGTAATGAAAACTGGTACTGAGTCCTCGATCAGTTTGGTGTTCTTATTTATTTGATCACGTCTTTGTCCATTTGTGTTTAGATTAGATCTAATTAATTTCACACATTTTAGTTTTTTCCCTTCAGTTGCAGCTGGGCTCTGTTACCTCTGGCATCAGTGATCACAAAGTGTTTTTCAGTGGTCAATTAGTGCTTCTGATTGACATTTTTAAGGTTATACAACTGAAAAGGGGTTATAAGCAGTGATATAACTGCAGTCTGTTAATGCTCCTTACTAATCGAGCGCAAACGTTCCCTGACTGCTGGACTAAAAAACAAAAGACGTTGATCAAATGACTGTAAACTGGATGTAAGGTCTGTAAAAAAAAAAGCATCTGGATCAGTTGCAGAGCGTCAAAAAACGCTCTTCTGCTTTCCTGCTCTTCTCTCCAAGGTCAGATACCCACCCTCTACGTTCCCCAAATTTGTGAAACTGATGATCTGCCTCTCCCTGATAACATGCTCAGTGATCCCCTTTATTAAACAATACAGCAAGTGGCACATATTTACTTTCTGACAGCTTATTTTAAGAAATCTTTCTGAGAAACTACAATTCAGATTTGGAAAATGAAAAGTTATCTAACAATAGTAAATTACATTATGCTTCTAAATTACTACTTAAGGAAAATCTGTTTTCCCCCCCTCCGTTTTAGATTAACAATTAGCCTGGAGTTTTCTTGGTTATCCACACCATGTTTAGGTGTGAACTGAGCCAGGGTTAAGTTTGGATGAAAGACAAAAACATGGAGATGGCGAGCGAGCTTAGAGTCCATGTAGTTTAAACATTACACTGGGTTGGGTTTCTGTGAGGTCCAGGTAGTGATTACAATATTAACTTCCAGCAGTTATGAAAACAAGATGTTCATGATAATGAACATCTTGGTAAATTATTACTTGTTAAAATTCATTTTTGCTTTATCTTGTATTACAGACAAAACCCTTTCTTTTAGTACAGTGTGTTTTCACTTGTCTCTCCAAGTCTTAGCCAAGATCATATAAAGACAGCCTTTGATGAGCATCTAGAAGTAAAAGCTGTAAAATCCACATGGGTGAACCTACGAAGAAACTTTAATGGTAACGGTCTTTGTGTCTGGACCTCACAGGCTCTATCATCCGGTCTGCTTTTGGTGGCGTGCAACCAAGGCGTTCACTGGCTGTCGACTTTCCGTCATTCACTGCCTGGCCACCCATTCTCCTGTGAGCCTGCTGCTGCCTGGGACTTTCACTAACTCCATTGAGGCTGCTTACTAGCAAGACGGGGGTTTATGGTCAAAAACCCATGCTAATCTGGGTCTAACTCTTGATCAGGTGACACTGCATCTTTCACTATGTTCACCACCTTTTCTCCCTTGATTATATTTTCTTCATTTGAACAAAGCTATAATTCGAGTTTAGGAAAAAGATTTAGCTACCACATGTTTGCAAAGTTTATGAATACTTGTGTTACCGAGATCAGAATTATTGAACAAAACAATCATGATTATTGTTTTTTGCAATAGTCATAATGCCTTATTTTTAAAATGGGAGTTTAATTAAGTCAATCTTAAATCTATGTATGATAATAAAATGCTTAAAAGTATTAGGAACATTTATAAGTTTCTTAACTATAGGCAGACCAGTCGTGTTTGTGTGTATTCAGTCTCCCACCCCCAAAGGGCCAACGTGAGCCAGGAAAAACCCCTGAGGGGAAATTCATTAAACTGTGGAAAATAAGAAGGCAAGGGACGCAAAAGAAGAAGTTATCCACAGTTGTGCTCATTGTTAAATGGATGAAGATAAGGAAATTTTTCTTTGCCCTCCTTCCGTTTCATCTGCTGTAATTATAGGTAACTGCTTAAACTCAAAATTTAACACATGAGATGTGATGTTATTCTTTTCTGCCGCTTTCATTTTATGCACACTTTGGTTTCAGCCAACTGCAACATGAGCATTTTCCAAGTTCCTGTCATCACACCTGGATGACTACCTGGAAGGAAGTCCTGCTGGCAAACCAGGATGTCCAGAGCACCAGAAATGTTGGCAAAATGGTGAAGACAGTGACTATGTTCCAACTCCCAGCAAAAAAGTACACAGTTAATATACCCCACACTAAGACAGAAGATTTTAAAGATGACCTGAAGTGGGGTTATTTTTCTAAAGTAACAGTCTAAATCCATGCATAGATGAGCCCCTGTTTGCTAAAGTGTAGGCATCCAGAAGGAGCACTTAGATAAGATAGGGTCAATATTTGCTGGTTAATGAGCAAACGTAACAGTTGATTGAACAGTATTGAGAGATTTTCGCTGACGATTATCTCCATGAATTCAAGTTACCACAAAAGGTATCAGCTTACTCGTTACCGGTGTGGGGCAAAACATCAGCACAAGATAAGACACAACCGAGAACAACGATTAATAACCTATATAAGATGGTTTTCAATATGTTAGCAAGACCGCTAACTATTATATCTGATATTAATGACCAATATATTAGCGTGTATGCTTAAAACAACGCTATTGTTGGGTTACAATGCACTAATAACCACTGATCTTTATTAAAAATATGACATGACGTTAGTTAAAGTCGAAATATCAGCGGCTTAGTTCTAAGCTTCCCTTCATAGCTAACTACAATGTTAGCAAGTCGATAAAAGCCCTCGATCGCAAGGCTCCTTTAATGAAAAACATAGCTAGCGTTGGCTACAAAGCTAACCTGCTAACAGATTTAGCTCCACCGCATTAAATAATTCCCGACACGTTTCTTTAAAAAAATAACCAACAGTCCAAGTCTTCGTCTTAACGTGTAAACTGGGCACGTGGTAAAAATATAACATAATACTTACTGGGTAGCTTCAAATTCCCAAAGCCAGTCGAGCTGCTTCCACTGGCTTGTGAACCCCCGGACTTTCCTGTCGAGCTTCCGCCGGCTACCCCTGATCCGGCACCGGCCGCAGCAGATCCGGGACCTCCGGGAGGCTCAGCGAATGAGCTGGTCCTGGGCCGCCCGCTGCCGCTCATATTTATTTGAACTAAAGCCGGGGCTAGGTCGGACGTTATTAGCAGCCACGCCGGCAGATATTTAAGCTGTGTCTGTGTATTTTAATATACTATATAAATAAAAACTACACTTACAACGTTCACTGTAGGTTACCCGTCTCCCCCTTTCTTCCTCTGTAGAGCAGTGATGATGGGGAGGGGGAGGGGGGACTGGGGAGTTGACGCACAACGACGTAAAGTTCGCAAGGCTTCATGGGAAAATGAGTTATTTGGGTCGTTAAGTCTAAAATACGAACCTAACAAACCCGTTTCATTTTACCACAAAAGTAGAAATGTAGACATTGCAACTGGGTTTAAGATCGGGTTCGGACATATAGTGAAATCCATATTAACAGAATCAATTATGCTCTTGAAGCTGGAGTTAATCGTGTGTACGTGTTTAATAAGAGTAATATTTTTAAAAATAGTTACCATAAATAAACCAGTAAACCAAGACTTAGTGATTTAGTAAAATAATAATAATACAAGTTGAAAGTACTCAAAAACCAAACAAAAACAAGTATTTCTACTTTGAAAAAACTACAATCCCCGGGAAACAATCGCAGTTTGTAATTGACAATCAACCTGTCCAATCACAGGGTCTAAAATGTTAACGCTACCGCATTGGGCGGGGCGCAGTATCACAAGAATGGAGGCGATCGGCGGGCAAACGTTTCATTACACGCTTTGTAATGTTAATTCCCGCGGACGCTTGTTAGTTTTTTAATTTCAGTATTACCCACGGTGAGAAGAGCCTAACAAAAAAATTAATCAAAAGGCCGTGTGGACCAAGAGTGATGACTACACGAGGGATTGTCCAACGAGAGTAAATGAGAGGTAAGGGGGAAGAAGGGCCCGGCCGTTGAAGCCGGAGAGCTTCGGGGAAAAGTGGGTAGCGCCGCCTGACGGACCGCCCGACGAAGCGGGCAGCTGGCATCAGGAAACCGCGGTGCCGAGAAACAGGTCTGCAATATCGGAGGGAGCGCCGCCAACAGCTCTCCATATGCCATCACACGCGGCAAACACTGATATGGATCACATTTGTGAGGATATCAGACAGGGATTTGTTAGTTTATATAGCGTAAAAGATCCTGGTGTTGTGATAGAGGCCCTGATTTTGGTTGACGACTGAAAATTGCCTTGTTTGAAACCGGCTTTTCTCCCTAATATGTGTACGAGTATTACTGTTTGTTTGTTTACACGAAAGATTAAAAGTAAAAATGAAAATCCCTTATTATAAGACGTTTATGGCTTTTCTCGTTTTACATTTTGTTTCCTACAGGTGAAGTTTCAGTGTAGGACTCGCTACTGCCTCACTTGTCCCAAACTCATTGCTATAATGGCTGAGCAGCAGCAACAGGAGGAAGCGGAGGGAGTGTATGTGGAGCACCAGTATATGTGCAGCGAGTGCCACCAGCTCTTCAACACCCTGGAGGATGTGCTGGTCCATCAGCAGATCCACATGGGCCAAGAAGAAGAAGGGGAGGGTGAGGTAACGGAGGCCATGACCATCCACGGTGTCCCAGAGGTGGGCCAGAGTCAGCAGTACCAGTGTCTGGAGTGTGGGAGCCTCCTCATGAACCCAGAGGAGCTGTTGCAGCACCAGGAGATGCACATGAGAGAGGTTGGAATTGAGGTGGAGCAACAAGGTATGAGATTTATTTGTGTTTTTGATCATGTATGAAAAACTGGAGTGTTAGGATATTGGTGCTTCACTTACATGGCTACTTTAAGACATCACTAACCACCTTTGTTTATGACCATTGTATAGAGCTGTGTGAGGTTATGGAGGCGGAGGAAGCTGGATCAGAGGCCCAGGTGGCGGGACCTGTGCAGTACCAGTGTCTTGACTGCCTGGCTCTGTTTGACTCACCTGAGACCTGGCTGGAGCACCGGCGGACCCACAGCAGGAGCAGCACACACAGTAACACCGAGACCACAGTAAGAGAGCCAAAGCACACTGTGACACAGTGTTAAAATATTAATTGGTGTTCTACTCATTAGTATGGCAGGTGTAGTTCCATTTGTTAATGTCTCAAATATGTATAATTAAACAAAAGAACCAATGTGGTTCCCCTCCAGGCTGGTCCCACAGATGGTGTAATGTGAATGGGTTATTGGGGTTATGTTTTTTTGTTTGTTTGTTTGTTTGGGTGGGGCGGGTGGGTTGTGCCAGGATTTCCTTTTGTCAGGCTTTCAGACAATCCTGGTAAAGACTCTGGTGCTGATGATTGAGATAGTAAAATAAGTTAGAGGTATTTCCCAAACTGTCACCTTCATTAGATAAATTTGGTCAGGATGTTCAGGAATAACCCAGGAACCATGAAGTTTGCAGATGCCCACATGGACAAGCCAAATACTTATTACAAATACAAGACAAAAGTTGAAGTGTTTGGCCGGGTGTGTTTGGAGGTGTAATGGTGAGGCCAACTGTCAAGCATGGTGGTGGCGGTAGCATCATGCTCTGGGGTTGTTTAGTTGCCACTGGTACTGGAACATTTCACAAAGGGGATGGAATATTGAAGGAGGAGGACTACCTCCAAATTCTTTTAACTTCACCTAAAGCCAACAGCTAGACTTTGAAACTTGGATGCAGTTTGGTTTTCCAATAGGACAATGATCCCAAACACACTTTAAAACTGGCTTTAAATTGATAAAGCAGGCTAACTTCTGGAATGGTTTTCCCAAAGCTCTGACCTCAGTCCTATTGGAAATTTGTTGACTAAGTTTAAAAGCCAGGTCTGTGCTAGGAAGCCAACCAAGAAGAGTGGTCAAATATCCAGCCAGACGCTCGATGATGGAAAAACCAAAAACATCTGGTTGAAGTGCGACTTGATGAGGGGCATTTAAGTTTGCACAACATACATGTATATGATTTTAAAGTCATTCCACCCCTGAAACGGAATAGTTCAAAGAAATCATTAGAAGCCAGAAACCACCATGACATTCACATCCATGATGAATGTATGTGAACGTCTGAGCACAGTGTGTTCCTGTGACCGTAGTTCTAGTTCTGCTGTTCTTGTGTCAAGCCTCAAGACATCCAATCTGCAAAAATATATCAAATATTTAATAATTAGAGGAACTTAGGAAAGGAGAAAATGTCAATTTTGTTTATTTTGTGGTGCATTTGATGCTTTTAATTCAGAAATTCATGTTTTTGTTGCCTTGCAACAGGAGTACATGTTACAGCCGGACGGCACCGTCACTCCACTGACCAACGTGCAGAACTACGTGTTGAGTGAGCAGCAGGCTGGAGAAATCTTGGCTCAGGTACTTTGATTTAAACCCTGAGACGACACACAGGTGTGGGAATTGTTTTGAATTTTTTCTCTGAACATTTCCGTGTGTTTTGCAGGTGCTCGCTCATCAGCAGCAGCAACAACAGCAGAGGAAACACCATTCTGCATCTAAACCTGCTGCACCCTCCCGCTCCTCTCTGCTGCCTCCTGTAACTCCGACTCCAGGATCTGCCACTATGCACCTACAGATCCTGACAGCTCAAGCTCTGGCAGATAGCTCCACCACTCCTGGTCGCCGGCGCTCCAAGCTGCCCGCTCTGTTACCCTCTGTGGGCCACAGCTCCTCAGTAAAGCTGGAGAATGGCATCCAGAGACTGGAGTTGAGGCTGGCTCCAGGTGTCCACCCTGACAGCCAGCAGCAGCAGCCAACAGAGGTGGTGGTAATCCACCCGTACGAATGCTCAGAGTGCTCCCTTCTCTTCCAGACACCGGAGGACTTCCTCCAACACCAGGGAGATCACTTCCTGGGCCAGGACAAAGAGAGCGGCGAGCCAGGGGTCATGAGTGGCATTGAGGAGGTGCGATGGAGGGAGGAGATGACCGAGAAGGTGGATGACATACGCATCAGAGGAGCAGAGAAAAAAACTGCTGTGTGGGCTAAACCCCAACAGTGTGAGCTCTGTAACCGAACTTTCACCTCAGTCAACCGGCTGGCCGCTCACAAGCGCGTGCATGAACAGGGAACACACGAATGTCCGGAGTGTGGGAAGGTATTCAAGAAGGCCACATCACTGCAGACGCACATGCGCACGCACTCTGGCGTGGCCCGATATCTTTGTGTGGACTGTGGCAACGGCTACACCACCGAGATGACTCTGATCATGCACAGGTGAGTGCTTGGTAACACCAAGGCAGACAAAAAACCTTTCACCCCAAAATCAAATGTTTTGTCTCTGACCTGTAGCGCTGTTTGTCAGTCTGAATTATGGAGAGGTGAACTTCCCAGAAATTTTCTGCCTTTTTCTTGAATAGAATGGAAATGTATGGCTTCTGATTAACCTCGCATATCTTCTCACAACCCATGAAAAATTTCACAAACCTAGTTGTGAGCACTTTAAATTCAACTCAGGTTTAATTATATAGCACCAGTTCACAGCAGCAGTTACCTCAAGGCTGGTTGTACCACATATTTTATAAACTGCCTCCATCTGACAATAGAGCTCACTGCAGGTATACAGGCCATTCCCAGACTGCAGATCGACTACCGCTGCTGGATCATAAACTGCAGCATAACTAAGGGAGGACTCAGGGTTACCTAAACCAGGCCAAACTATATACTTTATCAGTTCAGTTTTATTTATATAGCGCCAAATCACAACAACAGTCGCCTCATGGCGCTTTATATTGTAAGGTAGACCCTACAATAATACATACAGAGAAACCCCCAACAATCATATGACCCCCCTATGAGCAAGTACTTTGGCGACAGTGGGAAGGAAAAACTCCCTTTTAACAGGAAGAAACCCCCGGGAGAATCGGGCTCGGGGGGCGGCATCTGCTGCGATCGGTTGGGCAGAGAGGAAGAAGACAGGACAAAAGACATGCTGTGGAAGAGAGACAGAGATTAATAACAAGTATGATTCACTGCAGAGAGGTCTGTTAACACATAGTGAGAAAGGTGACTGAAGAAGAAATACTCAGTGCATCATGGGAATCCCCCAGCAGCCTACGCCTATTGCAGCATAACTAAGGGAGGATTCTGGGTCACCTGATCCAGCCCTAACTATATGTTTTAGCAAAAAGGAAAGTTTTAAGCCTATAATCTTAAAAGTAGAGATAGTGTTTGTCTCCCGAATCCAAACTGGAAGCTGGTTCCACAGAAGAGGGGCCTGAAAACTGAAGGCTCTCCCTCCCATTCTACTTTTAAACACTCCAGGAACAAAAAGTAAGGCTGCAGTGCGAAAGCGAAGTGCTCTAATAGGGTGATATGGTACTACAAGGTCATTCAGATAAGATGGGGCCTGATTATTTAAGACCTTGTATGTGAGGAGCAAGACTTTAAATTCAATTCTGGATTTAACAGGAAGCCAATGAAGAGAAGCCAGTAGGGGAGAAATATGCTCTCTCTTTCTAGTCCTTGTCAGTACTCTCACTGCAGCATTTTGGATTAGCTGAAGGCTTTTCAGGGAGTTTTTTGGACATCCTGATAATAAAGAATTACAGTAGGCCAGCCTGGAAGTAATAAATGCGTGAACTCATTTTTGAGCACCATTCTGAGACAGGATATTTGTAACTTTAGAGATATTGTACAAATGGAAGAAAGCAGTGCTGCATATTTGTTTGGTCAAGAATAAATGCAACATTCTTCAGTGTTATTGGGGGCCAAGAGAAGGCCGAGTACGATAACCTCAGTTTTATCTGAATTTAGAAGCAGGAGATTAGACGTCAGCCAGGTCTTTACGTCTTTGAGACATTCCTGCAGTTTATCTATCCATGAAAAATAAGTTAAAGCTGGCTATCTATGCCTTCTAATAGTACTGCCCAAGGGAAGGATGTATGTTAATAAAATTGGACCTAGCACTGAACCCTCTGGATCTCCATAATTAATCTCAGTTGTTGAGGAGGACTGCCAATTTACATGAACAAATTGAAATCTTATCAGCACGATCTAATCTCTGTAATAAAATATTATGGTCAACAGTATCGAACACTGCACTTAGGTCTAGCAGGACAAGCTCAGAGATGAGTCCACTGTCAAGATGATCATTTGTAACCTTCACTAACATTGTTTCTGTACTGAGATGAGTTTGAATAAACCATTTCTCTGAAGATGATCATTTATTGGTTAACTGCTCTTTAAAAAACTGGGAGCTTTGTGTAGAAGTACTTTGTGTCTATACAAAGACAGCATTCATGACCTTGTGACTAGAGCCTCACGCTTGTGACAGGATCTAAGCGTTAGTGATGTCTTCTTCAACTCGCTCTTCATTTCTTTAGTTGGTAGAAGCAAATAGTAGAAAGGAAATGGTTCCTACATGGAACTAACACAAAGGTTTGTGTATTTATTTGTTTATTTTCATGATTTCTGGAAAGAGACCAGACACTTTTTAAGATCTAGTTATTTCTATCTCCTTCTCCTGATTTCTTGTAGGAAGTCCCACACTGCAGACCCCCTTCATAAGTGTAATTTCTGCAATAAAACCTTCACTAACATGACCAAGTATCTCTACCACCGTCGAATCCACCTCAACCGTGACACATCTGGAGCATCCATCCCTGTCCCTGCGGTAGTAAAATCAGCACACCACCTTCCTATTGTCTCCACAAACTTCCAAGTTAAAACAACTTTTCAATCTGACGCGTGCCTGTTGTCTTCTCTAGGTCTCGGCTCCGAGACGAGCGTCTGCCTCTGCTCTTGCCATCCTACAAAGAGCAAGAATGAAGAAGTATTTCCCCAATGATGAGGCAAAAATAGACCTGCTGGCTCCTCTCACTGAGGAAGACACGGTAAAATTGGGAGATACTAGACAAAGCCCTCAGAGCAAAGCAGAAAGACGTGAAGATGAGAAGAAGGTGGGGGAAAACAGCATGGAGGTGTCTGAGCCATGTGAAGAAAAACTTGATGATGTGCAGCAGGTGAAAGATGGCTCCGCTACAGAGCCTGCTGCCAGGGGTGACGCGGGTGTGGCGGTGTCCTGTAGCCCCACGGACGAAGCAGACGTTGCCTCGGCTACACCATCGGAAAAGGGGTCCTTTTCCTGTCGTTCGTGCCCTAAAACATTCACCTCGCAACTGCAGCTCGTACAACACCGACGCAAATCCCACGTTCCCGAGCGCAGCTTTGTGTGCGGCATGTGTGGAAAGTCTTTTAAGAAGCAGATCCACGTGCGAAACCACATACGCACGCATACCGGCGAAAGGCCCTTCCAGTGCTCGGACTGCGGCAAAACCTTCTCATCTCTTGCCAACCTGACGAGGCACAACCTCATCCACTCGGGCGTGCGGCCGTACCGCTGCGACGTCTGCCACCGCTCCTTCTCGCAGTCGTCTAACCTCCGTCAGCACAGCCTGCTTCACTCGAGCGCAGCCACACTGAGCTGCCCAGACTGTCCCGCCACTTTCCGCTGGCCCACTAAGTTGGCAGCACATCGCTTCACACAGCATCCAGGATCTCCAGCGCCTTTTCCCTGTTTTCACTGTGAGGCTGGCTTCCTGACCAATAGGCAGCGAGAAAGCCACTGCCTGCAGGAGCACCCCGGGCTGGTCCAGGCAGCTAAAGAGTCAGAGGAGGGCAAAGAGAATGGCAGCCAAGCAGATGCAGGGAAAGATCTGACCTCGGAGCCCTCCACCTCAACGTCCGAGTCCGGGGATTCATCCAGCCATGTGAGAGGGAGCCTGGATTGCAACGTTTGTGGGAAGAAGCTCAATTCTCCCGCCAATCTACGACTTCACAGGCTGAGCCACTTCACCTTGGGGCCTGGGCGGCCACGGTGCACCCCGGGGAAGAGGCCCAAAGCTCACCAGTGTCCCCTCTGTGGCAAACTGTTTGTGTCGTCCTCCGGAGTGGCGCTTCACCAGCGGGTCCACACAGGTGAACGTCCGTTCCCCTGCCAAGTGTGCGGAAAGCGCTTCCGTCAGAACACGCACCTGCGAGAACACCTGCGCACGCATTCGGGTGAAAGGCCGTTCCGCTGCGAGATCTGCGGAAAGGGTTTCATCCAGAGCATGCACCTGGCAGAGCACCGTCGAACGCACACAGGCGAGCGGCCGCACGTGTGCCCCCTGTGTGGCAAAGCCTTCAAGACCTTCTCTAACCTGAGGAACCACAAAAAGACCCACGTGAGGCAGCAGAGGCTGGACGAGGAGGCCGCTGCTCAAGCTGCCCTGGAGGTCAGTTCTGCCGTGGCCGTGGTGGACGCTTCGGCCGTGGAAGTATCCAACGGGCAGCCTCAGGTCATCCAGATCCAGTCCTCTGATCTACAGCAGGTAAGAGATGATTTCCCCCCTTTTTAATCTGTTTTAATCTTAAATTTTAATCTGGTTTAGATGAGGCCTGTTTTTATGCTTTTTAACACAGGTAAAGGTTCACATGTTGAGGTCAGTCTATATTGATATTTCAAATTTCCCTCCTCACAGGCACCAACCATCATGTGTAATGAATTCGGGGAGACGATCGCCATCATTGAGACCAGCGAGGGAGCAGTGCTGCCCCTGGAGCAGGCCCTGGAGATTTATCACACAGCTTTGGAGAACGGACTCGCCATGGACACGGTCGCCGTGGACGGACTGCAGCTCCTCTGAATCACCAAAAAATAAGTTTACCTTTAAAAGCTTTCACGAGTGCTAATTGTGACTTAAAGACTAATCGACTACTGTGAGGAGGAGACTTGAGTACTGAAACCAGCTAATGAACGACTAGATAAGAGTGCTTAAACAAGAGATGAAATAGTTTTGGCAAACAGACCAAAGTACGCCTCCTCCCCTCTTTTAGTGACCTCTGAGATGGCTCGGCATTAAAATCTAATGAAACGATGTTCACTGAAATAAAGGATTTGCTGTTGGTGATGAATAAGGACTACTGGTTGTGCCACAGATCGTATTTGTATTATTAATGGTATATTTCATCATTTGGATGTGATTTTGTTTTCCTCTGTTTAAATGTTTGGTCAGCTTGTTAATAAATCTTTTTTTTAAGATCATAAGTGTTCATCACATTCCCCATTTTTCTAATCTGCGACTCCTCTTCTCCGTCCTCCTGCCTGTGACCCAGAACAAGGGAAATGGAATTTACAAACCACGATGGGAGGTGGTCTCTTCAAACAGCCAGTCCATTATTTATTTTTAAGATGATCAAATGTGCAATTAAAAGTACCCCTAAAATATAAAGTACATCATAAGTACAGCGGTAGTTGGGTCATAACAAAAGTTTACGATGCCATTGTGGCACACATATTTTAGGGAAATCCCCTTCACCTCGCCCGCTCTTCTCACATCGTTGGTGGGAGAAATTTAAGAGCAAATAGAGCGTGGACAGCCAGGAGATCTCGTGGCTCTGATTTGGGTTTTTCACTGACATGTTTTGGGTCTCTGAAGTTGTTCATAATAACCTGCAATGAAACAGGCTGAGGTGTCTTTGCATGAGTTGCGTTCAACAGCAATCTGACAAAAAAAAGTGGAATATTCTCAAATAAACAGGTTTAAAAACATTTACTTTATTACAACTCTGCTGGTTTTCCTGTGGCTCTGGCTGCAACATTTTTTCTCCCCATTCATTCATTCATTCATTCATTCATCTTCTGATGGTTATCCAGGTCCTGTCACAGCGGGAACAGTCTAATTAGGGATACCTACACCTCCCTCTCCCCAGCCACCTCCTCCAGCTCAATCTCGATGACAAATAAGGTCAAGGAAAGGTATGAAGGAGAAGCTTGGTGCTCAGAGAGTTTGACAGCACTTAAAAACTCGCCAGCATGTCCTGGATCTAGCCCAGAGCCTTCTCCCACTTGGAAAATGAATATCATCACATAGTTAGGGAGTTAGAAGTTCAAACCACCTCGCCTGAATCCTTACTCTGTGCAGGAAAACCTTAAAGATGACTGATTTGAACACTTCCATGATAAAAACAACAAATGAGGGAATATATGTTGCAAATCTGGCGCTCTATCCCTCCTGTGGAGTTTCAGAGACTTTGAAGCTCCATCCTAAGCAGCACTGTTGTCCTGCTAAAGGTATAAGGTCATCCAGCACCTCACCATGTTTGGTTCCCAGACAGTTTACACCCAGTCTTAAACCCTGCTGAAAAAAAGGTTTATGGTCTTAAAACTGTGCCTTTGAGTTTTTCCTTTAATCTGCCACTGATCTATCGTCCATAAAACCCCACTTTTCACAATGCCAGCAATAAAATCACTTTAATTGAACACCTATTTTTATTTGCATACTGAAAGATACAGATACAAACTTAATTTATATAAATTCCTCTCCTGCATACTGGAACAGCAAAACAAGGAGTAAAACACAAAAACATTAATAGCCATATTTATTATAGTTGCTTTTTTTCCCCATTTCATGTGTTTTACCTTCAGTAATGGTGCCTTAAAAGTCAACTTATGTTCAATGACAGTTTTCCTTATCAATAATATAACGAGTCTACTGACTCTACAGTAATTATTTACAACACAACCAAGTCTTGCACAAAGACACAACCAGTATTATATCCACCCAGCGCTCTTTGATTTGTCACCCTCCCGTCACTTCCCCCGGGTTTCTCTCCGCCCGGCCTAAAAAAGGGAGGTCTAGAAAGAGCAATAAAGTGACAAAGGGAGGAAGGAGGAGAGGAAAGGGGTGGAGGAAGGAGATGTACGTTGAGGCTATAGAGTCAAACTTATCGAGGGACAGAGAGGCATTGCTGGAGGGGTGGGTGTGGGTTGTCTAAAAACCATACGGCTTATTACTGCTGAATGAATATAAAGGTCCACGTCAGGTCTGTCTCTGTTAAAACGAATAATAAAAGAATAAAAGAAAAAAGATTAACTGCACCGCAGGTCCTTGCTGAGGTGAGACGCCAGCCAAGGGAAGACTACAACGGAGGAACTGTACAGGTGTGGAGCAGCATCTCTCACCTGCCTCCAAAAGTATATAAAAACAAAAAAACAGAAAGAAAGGAAACATCTGCCTGCAATGATAAAAAGAACTAAGGACAGGGATTCACTGCAATGATATGAGTAGTAGTAGTAATAATAATAATAATAATAATAATAGTAACCATAGGAATAGTACAACAACAAAGTGAATATGACAATGTTAAATACAAATCAAATTACTTTAAAAAAAAAAAACCCCAAAACAAAACGGTAATAAAACTGCTTGGCAACAGAGGATCGAGGTCCTACGAGTAAGAGCCTGGATGTGCCCGATGACTCTGACATTCCTTCCTTCAATGGCTAGCGAATGAGAGGCACAGGAATGCTCGTCCCTACCCGCTGGCATGTGCTAGGGTCAGTCGCGAGGAGGGAGGAGGCCAGTCAGGTAACTGCAGGAATGATGGCACTGCCAGAAGTCCACTTAAATTTCAGTCAGTTTTTCAGTCACTCCCAGTAGGCCTCTCCTGAAGGTCTACATATGAGTGGACCCCCCCCCACAAGAACTTTTCCAGGTCCACTGCAACAACTTGTCAAATTCAAATCAATTCTGGCTGTTGAGGGCCCAGCCCCCGAATGTCAGCAGAAAAACAAAGACGAGCTCACAACAGTTAGTCACTAGGTACAGGTTTGTTCCTCGAGCAGGTACTGAACTGCTTTTACTCCTCTAAAACTATTAAAAACAAAACAAATATCAAACCCTACGACGTCTTCTCTTAAAACCGCCCGCTTTTCACTGTCTCAGAAAGGGTTGAGCGTGTTTCTCCCTCCAAAACGGGAAGACTTTCTTCTTCAAGGCAAATGAGTGCAGCTGTACACAATGGTCCTTCGTTTACTGGCATCAATGGGAGCTTTCTCCAAGGTGGGTTAATACAGAGTGCTAATTCAAGTGTGAGAATTCAAAGTTTTCCAGGGTGTATGTGTGGTGGTTTTTGTGCCACTGGTTTTTAAGATGTTCTTTTTAAATTTTTTGTTTATTTTTTGGTACAATGGTCACAGATTATTAAAAAAAATAGGTCCCGACATTGCATACAAATGTCTCTCACTCTCAGAATTCGAATGCCGATGATGGGAAGAAATCGTGATCTGGCAAGAGCAGAGTGGAGACTATTGATAAGGAAAAGTGCATAGGGGGAGGTGGCACACAGACACCGGTTGGGTCAATTGAACTCGCCGGCTCCCCTCATCTAGAAGAATCATGTGAATCACGAGGATCCTCCGGGCTCGCTTCTGTCCCGTGTTCCATGTCTTCATCCTGTGGGTCTCCACCCGCTCTCAAAGATCCTTCCCCTGACTGAGACCCAGAAGGTCCAGCGATGGAGCCGGCTGAGTCTGAGCCGCCTAAAATAGAGATGTCGGAAGGAGCAGCTGTCTGCATGATCTTCTGCCGCACCTCCCTGATCTTCAGCTGCAGACACACCTTGGTGGGGAATATATCTGAGTATCTCGTCTGGAAGGCTGCAGTGGCCTGAGCTGTAGACAAAAGATGAAATCACCAGGAAGTTACAACCAGAATGAAGAACCAGAAATCTGTGACTGTGTGTGTGAGAGAGAGAAAGGTTGGTGGGTGCGTCTTACCTGATGGGAAGAAGCCCTGCTCCTGGAACAGCTGCATGACCAGTGCTCTCCTCTGGTCCAGCGTTCGGCGCAGGGAAGTGTACGGCACCTTATCAAACTCCAGTTCAGTCAAGATGTCTTCTCCATCTGGTGCTGGGAAAGAAGCTGGAGATTATAAACCATTAGATCCCTGAGAGGAATTTGAATTAATTTTAACATCACAGTGACATTGAATAATAACGAATTAAATGAATTTAAAAAGGAGGTCATCAATACACAAAAGATAAAAATCCCCACCTAAAAACAAGCTCTTCATTAATCCTTAACCCTCTCGTTACATTTCTACATCAAGACAGGCATCACAGCTCACTATGAACTATTAACATTAAAGGAGACCTACAGTATCATGCTTAACTGTCTTGTACATACCACTGTTACAATAGTGCATGTTCATATTAAAAACAGGCAAGTTTAAAATAATGAGGTTAGCGTGTAAAAAATTAGGGATAATATTCAGTGTGATCAGCAATAGCCTACCATTGATTTTTAGCTAATTTCCCCATTAATGCATTAAAATAGATTATTTTTTATGATCCTGATAAGAGTTGAATTGATTTTTAAATGTAATTTTTTTAAGGCATTACAGAATGTGAACAACGATTCTTTAAAAGGGTACTTTAACCTACTTCCTGTTCACCCCAGTAACGATGGTGTTAGCTACCAGCTATCACCAAGGAGGACAACGGTATGATCGAACTGTAGAGATTACTGAACCTTGTGAACCTAAAGCTCAGGCTTCGTACTGCTATAAAGGCCATAGGTATAGACAGTCTTTCTAATTTCCTGTCTTTATGATGTTACTGAGAACAGAGATCTAATTTCTGCCTGTGATCACAGGAGCCCCACCTGCTCTGATCTGTGTGTGACAGGCAGCCAATGAGAAGAAAACTGGCTTAAGTGGGAGGAGCTAAATCAGCTTGTTTTAGTCTGCACTAATTCTGAACTGTGAATCATGCAAAGCTGGAAGTGACAGGTCCACTTTAAGTATATGAGAATATTGCATCTTGTCCTTGCTGTTCTGTGTGCTCTACCTGCTCTGTCAAAGGTGAAGATGTCCCCCTCGCATTTAGCGGCACTTTTAGGCGTGCTGGGCTCGGAGCTACAGCTGGAACGCCGCCGACTCTTCCTCTTTGGGGAGATTTGCTCGTCTGTAGCAGAGTCTAAATCTAGAAGCAGAAGGGAGACAAATTTAAATCCAAGCAAACACAATGAGAGATATAAATAAAATGAGCATTATTTTCAACAGTTTAGATGTTAAAGTAAAAATTATAATGCACTATTGAAGTCCAGGAATTATCAGCAGAAAGCCAAAGAAACTGCTCTACAGACACCAGCCTCAAAGTATCCCAAAGTGCTTTGTGTGACCTGTTGAGTTCTTCCTCTTGCGGCGATAGCTCCCCAGAATGGCACGAGGTGAGGTGGCCAGGCTCTGCAGAGTCGGTGACGGC